CGTCCTGGGCTGTTTCTCACCCCGCCCCCGCCGCCGCCCCGCGGCCCGTGCGGGCGCCTCGCGAAGGGCGCGCGGGACCCCGCAGGTGCTTCCCGTCCTGCCGGAGCCCGAGTCCCGGCCGGGCGAGTAAGCAGTGTGCGGCGCGTGCGGCTCCACGACAAAAGTCCGGCCGCAGGAGATGGGGCCGTGTCGCCTTCGGTTTGCAGAACGCCTGCGGGTTTACTGAGCCTTGCCACGTGCACCATCGCGTGCGCTGGGCCCCGTGGCTCTTCCCCAAGAAGCGCGGCAGGCTCGCGTGCAGCCACGCTGGCCTCCGCACCCGAGACTTGAGTAGTGAAGGAGCAGGCAATCCGATAAGCCCTGCCCTGCCCCTTCCTTCCGAGCTCACACAAATAGGATTGTTACAGTGTCTTAGGTCGACCTACTACGTGCCAGGCACTGTCCCTCCTTCATCGCCAAGTGTCTGTGTGTGGAGAGAGCACACGTCATCAGTCGATAGGTATAACACTGCACCGCTTTTTCCTGGTCTAATGGAGCCAGACATTTATATATGAAATCTAGTTGGCTGGAAGTAAAGGGAAAATATAGAAGATGGAACAAGATGTGAGTTCCTTAGGGATTTGGGGTTGGGCAAAATGTATCATTACTTGTGCATTTTCACCTTCCTAAGTGCGTTATTTCTTCCTGATTTTCTCCTAACATGTCTACTCCTGCAGGTCAAATGATTTTTTTTTTTTTTAACGTGTATCCTGTGTTGAAGTAAATAAGTCATTTTAGGACGATCTTAACACAAACTTTAAAAATGTAGAATTGTGCCTATTTTTAAAAAATCTGTTCTCCATGCAGTTTTGCAGAACTGAATGCCCCCCCATGATAATATGTGATTTCTCTTTAGCATGCAGCTAACCATCATATAAATCTGAGATTATTAACAAATCCTATTGGGGGCCAAATTGACATAAAATGCCTGATTGTGACAAAATCTAAACCAACAAGGTAGAAGACTGAATAGAAATTTGAAATTGAAATACTTCCAGAACTGTTGGAATTCGAGAAAGGAAGCCTGAAATTGGCTACATCTTTTCCCAGATGCTAGGTACTCAGCCTACCCCATTCCCCACTATAGACCTTCCAGAAAATAAGTTGTCTAGTTCCAAGGTTCTGAATAGAGCAGATGGCCAGAAACAAATATTATGCTCCTTTCTTAAGCTCTAATGATTAAATGAAATTAAAGAGAATTAGGAGCTAGTGTTATTTCATCAAATTCTAGGCATGGAAGATTCACAATCATTTTAGAACTCTCACGTCCTTTATATTCTAAGCAGAAGTGGGTGCTCAAAAGGTGTGTTTCCCCAAATTTTTGTAGCTACGTCTTGCTAGGACAAAGGAGGTGTTTTTGTTTTTGTCTTAGTGGAAAAAGTATAGGACTGGAAATAAGGAGACCAATGTGTAGCCTCAGCTGAGTCACTGAACCTCTTCACCCCTCAGGTGCCTCCTCTGAAAGGGGCCAGTGTTACCAGTCTCTTCCCACCATAACTTGAGAGTTAGAGGCTGTGGCTCTGGTCCACTGGTGGTTCACTCTGAACCCCGTCACATGAGTTCCTGCCATCACTATATAGCATAGCCCAAGAGGAGCCTTTTCCTAAATGCTATGCTCAAAAGACACCCAGTGTCATTCCATGAATTTAATATTTTTGCCCTACCACAATGGGATGAAACAAGTCATCTGATATAGAATTCGATTTAATTATAAATAATACATAGAAACGTAAAGAATAACATAATACATCCATAATCCCATCACCTAGAATCTCACTTTTTAAAAATCCAGTCAAGAAGGTGGACCCTAGGAGAGAAAAATGGGAGAAGCTAGTTAGGCAAGAAATCTTTATTTAGTATCTGTTTCTCTCATGAGATGGTTTATGCAGAAATATTTATCTAACGCCTGTTGTGTGGCAGGTGCTGTGTTAGGTGCTGAGGCTGCAGTGATGACTAAGGGTCAGTCTCTGTCCTCAAGAAGTTAGGAGTCCAGTGGAAAAGAGAGACAAAGATTAAGGTGCAACAGGGGCTGGCCCAGTAGCATAGTGGTTAAGTTCGCGTGCTCCGTTTCAGCAGCCCTGGGTTCGCAGGTTTGGATCCCGAGCAAGGACCTACGCACCACATGTGAAGCCATGCTGTGGCAGGCGTCCCACATATAAAGTAGGGGAAGATAGTCACAGATGTTAGCCCAGGGTCAGTCTTCCTCAGCAAAAATAGGAGGATTGGCAACAGATGTTAGCTCAGGGCTAATCTTCCTCACAAAAAAAAAAGAAGAAGAAGAAGGTGCAACACAGTGTGGTAAGTGTTAAAGGAACTCACAAGTGAGGCACTTAAGCTAGCCTCGAAATGTCAGACTTCACACACAAAAAGAGGTAATAATTGAGCAGACTTCTGAAGGATGAGATTTTCAGATAAAGAGGGGTAGGGAAGGTGGGCCACAGGCTCTGAGGATAGCAAGGGGGAAGCCCTGAAGATGAGGGAGAACAGAACCCGTTTAAGGAACAGCAAGGGGTACAATGTGGCTGGAGCAGAGTTTGATGGGATGTCAAAATATGAGGTAGAGCAGGTATCAAGACTATTCACGGGGGAAGGATGCTTATTTGTCTTGATAAGGGGTTGGGACTTTATTGTGGAAGCAATGATGAGCCACTGAAGGGCTTTAAGCAGGTGAATGAAATAATCAGATTTGCACCTTAGAACATAATTCTTGTGACTGGAAAATGGATTACAGGGGCAACTTTATAGATGAGGAGACTAGTTAGTTAAGAGGCTATTACACTTATTAGGTGAGAGAGGATGGACCACTGACCTAAAGTATGGCAGTGAGAATAGAAAGAAATGGATGAATCTGAAACAGCCATAAGGTAAAACAGATAGGACTTGGAGGCTGAGGAAGAGAAAGCAGTCAAGGGCTCCCCCCAAGACAGGGACTATAGGAGGAGGGGCAGGTGGGAAGGTGATAAGTTCAGTGTAGAACATGTTACCTTTGAGATACCTGCGGGACATCTAAGTGGGGATGTTCAGTTGCCATTGAACATAGAATAGGAGAGGTAATACAGTCATCAAATTTGAATACAACAGGAGAAGGTAAATACTGCTTCCAAAAGGAGACCAGAAGCTATCAGTATGTGAAAAGAAGCATCTGTCCATGCAGTTTGTCATCTGTGACATCCTAGAACTTCTCCCTGAGGAGGAGTCATGACCCATGGATGGAAGCATCAGGCCCAAGGGAATGATACCTGAGAAATGGGCTCATATTAAGGCAGAATTTGGGCACAGCAGGGGTAGAAGCTGGTACAAGGAATAGTCACTAAAAGCAGGTAGAGGAATGAGCTGGAAGTAAAAAGAAGTATTGACTATTGGAGCTGGAACAGAACTTCAAGTCCAAACCTCTTATTTTATACATATTGAAGATCAGAGAGGTTGAGCTGCACAGATTTTCAAAACCAATTAGTAATAGAGCTAGAATTATGACCTAGATATTTTAAACCCCAGTTCTGTCTGGTTTACTAAACAATAGTTTGAAGCTATTTATAGGAGAATCTCTGTTCTGATATTCTTTGACTAGAAATTTTTTATACTAATACGTTCTTACACTGATATTTCAATTATGATTTATATTTGGAATGATATCTCACAGGCTCTCAGATTCCCTATACGCTTTCTGAATTGTTAGAAATGGTAGGGTGAGGGAAGAAGAAAGTGGTCGTGGTGGCTATAAAGAATGATTAATGATGAAGCTAATGAAGCTTACACATCCAGGAGGCATCCTAACTAGTGATAACATGGTCATAAAATTTAGTAAAGATTTATAAAAATAATGTTGTGTGTATTTTTCTCTTAAGCCTCCCAAATTGTATATACTTCAGGCCCCCAAAAAGCTAGATTAACCCCAGGTAGCAGTACCTCAAGTCAAGAATTAAAATTAGGATTGAAATGTGAGCTTAAAAGTTAGTGGACCAAGAGCACAGGCAACAAAAGAAAAAATAGATAAATTGAACTTCATCAAAATTAAAAACTTTTGTGCATTGAAGGATATTATCAACAGAGTGAAAAAGCAACCCATGGAATGGGAGAAAATATTTGCAAATTATATATCTGTTAAGAGATTAATATCCAGAATTTATAAAGAACTGTTACAACTCACCAACCAAAAAACAATCAGATTAAAAAATGGGCAAAGGACTTAAATAGACATTTCTCCAAAGAGCATATACAAATGGCCAATAAGCACATGAAAAGATGCTCAACATCATGAATCATTAGGGAAATGCAAATCAAAACCACAGTAAGATACTACTTTATACCCATCGGAATGGCTATTATAAAAACAAACTAAATGAAACAGAAAATAACAAGTGTTATCTGGAGAAATTGAGGCCCTTGTACATTGCTGGTAGGAAAGTAAAATGGTATAACCACTGTGGAAAACAGTATGGCAGTTCCTCAAAAAATTAAACATTGTGTTACCATATGATCCAGTAATTCCACTTCTGGGT